CAAACCATGTTCAGATTTGCTCACTGTTCAAACCATGTTCAGATTTGCACACTATTCAAACCATGTGTTCAAATTTGCACACTATTCAAACCATGTGTTCAGATTTGCACACTATTCAAACCATGTGTTCAGATTTGCACACTATTCAAACCATGTGTTCAGATTTGCACACTATTCAAACCATGTGTTCAGATTTGCACACTTTACATTTACCCATGTGTCTCTTGTCTTCCATGCAACTCACTTATATCATCTTTCAGATATGCAAGATTATACAATGGGCAAGGATTATGATTACAGTTCCTTTAGCTTCAACAATGACAATTCGAAGCAACTGATTAGCAACAAGTATAATAATAAAATGCATGCAACTTCTTCCAAAGACAAATACAATTCTAACAGAGAGCAGATCGCGTTTTGTGATCGGATCACCCGATGTCCCAAGTACGAGTACTGCCAAAAAGTGTTGTTTGAAAATGGCATATGCAAATGTATCAATGGCTTACAGAGAAATGGACGTAGCGGTGCATGTGAACCTATACAATCAGGTTTATACCTTCATTACTTAGTTATAGTGGTGATGCTGTGTACTTGTATGGCACTATCGTACTAACCATAACACTTGCTTACTGTCTTGTGTCATCTGCTGCACTGCACTGCATAGTAATACTGCGTGGATTAACAGTCTATCTTGTAGATAGAATTAACAAGTCTCTATTCTTCTTATTCAGCAAATAGCTTATTCTTATGAGAGTGTGTACAATACATGTGATGTTTTGTTTGTGTCTGGTAGTATTAGAGATCCACTTCTAACAGAGCAAATACAGTATATTGGTTGACTCACAAACAAATTTGCACATGTTCAATTTCACTCTTTGAGAAACATATTTCTGTGTTGATGATGAATTCTTTGGAATATTATACTTAGTTTTTCAAACCGTGGAACCTTAAAACAGCAAACAGTCTAGGAATGATATAGTCAATATGCTTAATTTCATTCCTTTCTGTGAATACTGTGATACATTCATACCCAAGTTTAACTGAGATTCAACCCATAATGCCATATGTGTAAGAGACAACTGCTAATCACACTTTGAAGTATTCATTCCTCCTAGGAATCATTTTTTATTGAGATGGTGTTAATCCATCGATTTGATTGGTTGAAACACAAAATTTGCATATGCAATTAATTGGCTGATAATGCACAGTTATGATAAACAAAGTGGCCCTGGAACATGAATTGACTACAGGTTTGATGCGGAAATGTATAAAACCGATAGTATTTGATTTTTAGGGAAATATAGTGGTTAAATTTCGGAAACAAATTGTAAAAAATACCTAATTAAAAACATCTGAAAAATTATATAACCATAATATTGCTTTTTGATAATGGCGGGATAAAAAATTGGGGAGGGGGGGGGACTATTGCTTAAATATATGTCTGGGTGTTGGATAATTGCATTGCCAGTGAGCTAGTACCTGTAGAGTGGAAATACAGATACTGTAATGCATTTTAAAATATGGATTAAAATTTGATGGCGGTAAATTCTCTTATTTCTGTATTTTTTCATGTTTTTGTTCATCTACCTCTATTCATAACCTTAATAACTGAGTTATGATATATTAAAAACTGAAAACAAAAACTCTAAATAAACTCAAAGAATACATGTAGATGAACAAAAACTAAATAAAATATGATAGATACAGACAGATGCATAATCCTGAATCATGACTGCACTACACTGCACTACACTGCACTACACTGCACTACACTGCACTACACTATAGAATACTGTTGCTTTGTGAGGTAGCTAGTTCCACTTGTTAAAAGAAATCGATGCCAATGACACATGTGTGATATTTGTACCTGATATTGTGAAACCATGTTGTGCCATTTGTTCTCCGTAGACTATACATAAAGCATGCAATGTATGCAGCTTTAAAGTTTACTAATTATCTATACGCTAGATAATATTTGAATGACATTCCTCAATAGTACATACTTTTGACAACACATCAATATTTGCACAATACTTTCTGATGTCTTATTTTCATTTATTTTACAGCTCTGTTGAATTACTATTTCTGTTCTGTAGTAGCAGTAGATTTTAGCAGTCTTGATAGGCGATTTGGACCAAAGCGGAAATGTCTAAATTATTTTGACATTCTATAGTTGGAGCATTCATTTTCACCAACATTTAATTCTATGGTTTTGATATTTAACAATATTCACTGGGTTTTAAATTCAGATTGTCCAGTGCGACAATAAGTTTTATTGTAATTTGATATGTTCAGGTAAAGTTAATATAATGGATTACAACGAAACCTGTTGAATAAAATTATTGCCTTTACAGGATTTCTGGAAAATGTGTTGCCATGGAATGCTCATTAGTTGCTCATTGGTTCAAACCCCCTTGGTAAAATATAACTTTTCTGATCAACTGTGATTAATTATGTACCATATTCACTAACAATTATTTTATTTTATTTTATTATTTTTTCAAGAACTTACTGTAAAATACTTTATTTTAGCTGGTATTATCTTTTGCTGAAAAGACTTTTTGGGTGTTTTGTATGAATTTATTTTTACTGATTTTTGATGAGTTGAATGCAAAATATTGAAAAAGAGGTATATTCGCTAGATTTTATTTTCACTGAGTCATTCCTTCAGCGAAAATTAATTCAAAGTGAAAATAAAGTATTTTACAGTATTTATCTGTTTAATGGTCGATGAATTTCATTAAGGCATGAATGTATTTTTTTTTGGAAATTTATAAATAATATTTATAAAAATTTTAGAGTGTACAGCTCTTACACTTCATTCAAATCTACAGAAGCCATCTGGTTGCCCCTATTACCCATGAGTCTTTGCAAGTTTCATTGACTGCCGTGCACATGAAAGTAGTCAAGTTGTTCTCAATCGTCATTTGAAATTTAGGAAACACTTAATATAAATTTAATTTTATTATTATAAAAAACATTCATGCCTTGGAAAAATTAACTGTATCTATGTAACATATTGGGGCCAGTGTGATATGGAAACTTTTGTTTAAATTAAAATAAATGAAAGTTTAATAATGTGTTAATATGGTAAATGTTGATGACAACAATTTACACAAGTTCTGATTTCCAAGTTGAAAGTATTACTAGTAGTGTATAATTGAGTTGCTAAGCTGCCATGGCTTCATCAGTGTAATTTTATTATTTGCCAGATTATTGAAAGCTTTCAAACATGTGTAACAAAATGAAGCATGATCCCAAATCAGTATTTTGTGAGTACTGTGTATTGAAAAATCATGTCATACATCATGTTTTGAATCTTGATTTCCAAACAAGCGCAACCCAAGTGACCTAGAATAAACCAAAGTTCCACGTTTGGGGTTCGCTTGGACAAAACTAGGATTTTAATTTACCAATTTTGATTTGTATTGAACATTTTGATTTTGCTTATACCCTGAGGGCCAAATTGTTTTTCTCTCATAATGGCGTAAATTTGTTCCTTTTTTCCATAATTCTTGTCCAATTCTTTGAATTTGATCTTAATTTTGGACCAAAAACCCAAATCTGACATCTGGCTTCTAGTTTTTGATAAAAAAAATGAAATTTTCGGAAATTCTTTCTGTGCAAAAAAAACACTATTTTGTGGATGGTGCCTAAAGTTGGCTTTGACACTTTGTCTAATGTAGCAACACAGTGACTCATACTGCAATATTGCTGGTCCATTCTTTCTTGCGGTCATAGTAAAAGATTATAGAAAAATATATAAAAATGCATGTAATATTATGCTGAAGTTTTTATAGGTGAAAATTCTTGTTTTGAAAAGTGAAACCAGCAAGCTGTTACTATGATTGACTGGTCAGCCAATCAGCTTCGTTTCCTATCATGGAATTAACACTGGAATGTGCTTGTTAACATATAACAGAGAGTTTGAAACTAGTCTGTTGTTAATTTCTTATTCAGTTTCTCTTACTTGTGTATTCAAACTACAGTCTATTAAACCTTATTACAGCAAAAGTCATTGAACCAGGCAAAATAATTCGGCATAATTGTAGTTATTAATAACACGCTGCCACATATTTCTTAATTAAAACGGGATATCGCAATTTAATTCCATAATAACTAAAGTTCACTCAAGGAAAATTATTTCTGCTGTCCTTCAGTATGTTTTTTAATAAATCTTACAGAGGTTTGATTTAAGAAAAAAATGATTTCAGCTGTAGCTCTTTTTCTCAGATAGAGAATCTGAATGAACTATGTGAAAGATTTCTATTTACTGACCCATGATACTTGAATTTATTAGCGTAGTGCTTTTCGTATATGTTCGAGCCTTACATTACATTACACGTCAACATGAGTTTAATAAATCTAATATCATGGGTAATGTATTTTAATATTCTATTTATTATTTGTATTTGGTATGGAGTTGTATTTTCAAAAGAACTAATATCAGAATCATAATGTGTATGCTTGGCCATTGCTTTTTACCCAATCTCATCTCATTTGCGAACAGAAATGCCATTTTTTTGGGGGGCATTATACATGTATATTTCTTGTGAGCACATTATTTTTGTTTTTCCATCATTGGCCTTCACGTATCTCTTGAGCGATTGGCAAGCATGACTGGGGAGGGGTGGGGTAATTCCTATGGGTTGCCAAGATAAGGTTGGGAGAATTAAACTTTCAAAGAGAAGATGTGAATGTCTGAATTCACCAATATAATGCAGAGAAGTTTAGATTTACCATAATGTTAGGCAAGTTTTTGTTCATTTGGTCATGTGACCAGATTTTGACTGTCAAACAAATTCCATTTCAACAACGCATGTCTAGTACATATATGCAAAGAATAGTTACATTACAAACAAGATTTCTACACTACTGGTTATCACTTGAAAAAACTTGGAAATCAGGAATCATCTTTATGTTTATTAGGACCACCCACCCATGTAGTTTCTTCATTCATTCATCCAACTTACCATACATGTATGTTTCTACATTACCAGAGCTGCCAGGATCCACAGTTGGTTTAACAACATCAAATACGGCACAAATAACACTACCAAACGATGAAACATCTGATAAAGTTAACGGTGGAGACGATACTGATGAATTGGAGACTTTACTGAATATATTAGGAGAGGAGAAGACTCCTCAACAAACACCAAATCCTGCACCTTCCTCTCAAGTGACACAGCCACCGATTGCTACTGACGCTCTCAATTCTGTCATACCGCTACCCGATAAAAAGGCAAGTACCATATTTATTTTATTTAAAAAAAAAATAAAAGGTAATAGATCGGGCATATTCTTCTTTTTACGTTTCCATATTTAGAGCAACCATTGAGTTCTTTTCTGAATTTACATAAATAAGTTTGTACCTGGCCACCAGATTGTTTTACCACTGCAATGTTTGAATACATGTATTTCAATTCCCCCCTTGCATGATGTTGATGTATTTACTTTTATACTTTATCAGAATTTTTATGGAGAATTGACCAATGGTCTTTGCATTTAATTTACACTCTGTAAATAAGTTAAACATTGAGTTGCTGTTCACTATTGCAGTATTTTCATTATTTTGCTGTTCACTATTGCAGTATTTTCATTATTTTGAATAGTTGAACAATAATTAAAACAATGTCCAATGACCAGGTTTTATGACTTCTTCACACTAATTGGGGCATTTTGGATGTGGTGCTTGATTGGACATAGGCGTTAAATTGACCAAATAATATTAACCAATAGTAGAATAATTACAAAACTGAGCATGCTCAACACAGGGTTAGCATGATGCCACAATTACTGGCCTTTGATGTGTGATTTCTGACCCACCGTCTTTAGTACATACCGGTACATGTCAAATTTAAACCAGGGAAGGGGCTGTTCAGGCTTCATTCGCTTGAATACTGAGACTTAAATATCTTGCGTCTGTTTGGGAATGGTTACCTTACAACCATGTGTTTTTAAATGTGAAAATGCATTAAAGTGTTTGTTTGTTTTTATTAACAAATAAACAGAATAACAAGCTAATAAAAGAAGGAGATACAGTGGAGGAGGTTGGTGATGTGATTACAGATGCCACAAATATGGATGAAGTGCCTAGTAACAGTACTGAAAGTGAGATAGTGATTGGGGCAGTGCCAACAGAAACAACAGTAATACCGGTACATACCACGAAGACAGTTACTGAACCAGGTAAGTAACTTGAAATACTGTAAAATACTTTATTTTCGCCTGAAATTTATTTTCGCTATTTTTGCTGAAGGAATGATTCAGCGAAAATAAAAACGAATATACCTTTTTTTCTATATTTTACATTCAACTCAACAGAAATCAGAAAAAATAAATTCCATACAAAACACCCAAAAAGTCTTTTCAGTGAAAATTAATTCCAGCTAAAATAAAGTATTTTACAGTAGCACAGAAAGGGAACAAGTGATTGGGATTGTAATAACCATGGTAACGCCAGTATATCACTTATTATTATACATCTGTCACCGTAATGCCATAAGTTACAGCGTGCCATAATTTTGCAGTATTTTATTTTCATCCAACCATATTGGGAAATGCGAATTCCAAATATGGAATGATTATGCACATAAGCGTTCTCTTAATAATAAAAAACAAACATGGCTGCCACCAGTGTTTGACCGAACTCCACCCAAAGAAGTTTGCTGATTCTGCTCTAAACTTTTTAAATTTCAGCATTCCCATGATGTATCCTTGGCAGGAAAAGATGTATAATAATAAGGTTATTACGAAGATACCTCAAAGTATGCACTCAGACAGTACGCCATCGCATCAACCTCCGCTGCGTGTCGGTTGATACTTCCTCTGTACTGTCTTCGTGCATATCCTCGTAATAACCTCATATTATCACTTCTGATAACTAAAAACTTTCAAAGCTACTAGGTTCCCCACTGAGTTTTCTTTAAATCTGTGAAGTAACATCTAATAGTTTTTGATTTTTGTTTTATCATAAAGTTGATAAAGTTTAGATGAATAGTGTCATTACCGTAACTATATTTTCTCATTTACCCTAAAATAGTGACAACATTGACAGTATCTGCTGGTGAAGATAGAATATTACAGTTACCAGAAGAAGATAGTGTTAGTCTTATTGCGTATGTCATACCAGAACCATCAAATACCACGCATTACAAATATGAGTGGTCTGTAGTGAGTAAACCACAGGGTAGTACTGGTGGTGAAATCGAATACAAACACTCAAAGAAAGTCAACTTACTGAAGGTTAGTCTGAATACTGTTTAGTTAAGCACTCTAACTGATGTTAGTTATTTATTATTTGGGATACAGTTTGAAGCGGGAGGGTCGTCACCTGCGTACGCGCGGGAATTGAGTCCCAAGCGTCAATAACAACACACGCTAAAAACGCAAAGGCTCAAGGGTGGACGCTTGTTTGTAAACAATGACATGCTATGGCCATCTGATGCATGCGCAGGTGACAACTCCCCGCTAAATGCCATCAGAAAAGTAAAAAAAATGTAATGTCAGTTGACCTAGTATACACTATCATAGGTGTGGGAGTTGCTGTTAAATATCACTACTGATTTAGAACTATAAATGTTATGATATCATGTTAAATGTCACTGCAATGTGTGTTTCATTTTATTCTAAGCGCTGTAGATTACATATTTTGTTGAGAAAATTGGAAAAATTCCACATTTGTCCATACCATGTCTTGTACTTTTTATTATAATAATTTATTTGAGGACAGACTCCTGGTGTGATTGCTCAACTTTCGTGCATTATAAAGTAAACTCCATTGTAACACATGTCAACTTTGTCTGCATAATCTATAATTGAATATAAATGCTCTTCTTTTTCACAATATAACTGTGGGGAATATTCAAGTTGGATAATGTGGAGATGTTGTTTCTTTTTTTGAATAGAAGGGGGGGGGGGGTATGCAGGTGAACTTCAATTGTGTGGTCACATTTTCAATAAACCATAGATTATGAATAAACTAGAAGATGTTTTTGAAAGAAGTTATTGTTGTTTATTAAAGCTTGGTGCATCAACAATTTGATCATCTAAAGAAAATATATTTGTGTTTGGATCGTATTAACTTGTTGTGGTAATATAAAACCTAAAATCTGAATTAAGACTCAGAACAAATGAGAAGTTATCCTACTTTTATGTAACAAGAGAGCAGGGTGTCTGGGAGCTACATAAAATTGTTTTGTTTTTCAGAATACATTCATTTGACAATTTGAAAACATCCCTAATATGAATTGGTGATGAACATCCAGAATAACATGGAGGAATGACTCTAGAATGTAACTTCTATGCACTCAGCAGTCTCTCAGAAATAACTGTGTTGTATTTTTGTTTATCGCAGTTGACTGCCGGAAAGTATGTATTTAAAGTATCTGTAAGTGGTGATCACAGTTATGGTGAGACCCGTGTTAATGTTACTGTTAACCCACCGCTGAGAATCAACACACCACCAGTAGCTGTTATATTTCCCAAAACACAGGATGTCACATTGCCAAATAATCAGGCTGTGCTGGACGGATCAAGTAAGCAAATAAAGTCAACCATATAACTTATGATCTGATTGGCTACTACATGTTGGTGCTCATGAGTCGGTGGCCCATCTCCAACTGTAATCAAGTAGCATACTGTAGAATACTTTATTTTCGCTTGCAACTAATTTTTGCTGAAGGAATGATTCAGTTAAAATAAAATCCAGTGAATATACCTTTTTTCCTATATTTCACATTCAACTCTTCAACAATCAGTGAAAATAAATTCAATACAAAACACCCAAAAAGTCTTTTCAGCGAAAATTAATTCCAGCTGAAATAAAGTATTTTACAGTATGGTGCTATCAACGATTTGTCATTTATATTTAACAAATGACCAGCAATTTGCCATGAGTCTAGCAAGCAAACAATTTCATAAAAAAAATGCCTCTACATGAATGTGTTCTGTATACAAGCTTTCATTCAGAATATGTACATTCTCAATTGTTACATGTACAATGGGTAAAAGCACAATTATAGATCTTAGATACCAATAGCTGTAGCAAACGAGACGCAAGATTTGTTTTAGTCTCATAGTGTTCCATTCAATCTCATCTACTCATCTGTGTAACCACTGTATTGTGGACTCAGTGATGAAAGAGAATGGAATGGAGCAAAAACAAGTCTGCAACTTTCTCACTCTCAACAAGATCTTGGTGACCATTTGCATCTAAGATCTTACGCAAAGTATTATGGGAAATAACATAAAATCTTCAGTGAGAGACTGTCGGAGAGAAACGCAGCCTTTCAAGATAACTAAGTATTTGGCATTTCGTGCAGAGGCCCTTGAAAAAGGTTTTCATCTGTATCGTAATCCCTGAGTTTCGTGTGACAAAACTGTCAACATTTCAGTGATGGCCATTACAAATTGATATTAATGACAAAAAGATTGATAGTTACCAATATTGTTGCTTTACAGATTTCCATAAAAAACGAAATACAAAATTATCCAGAGAGCACATAGCAAAGACTAAAAATGACAAGAAAAATCTTGCATTAATTAATTAATGTTAATTTCCAATTAATATAGAGAGTCATGACGATGATAAGATTGTGAGTTATCATTGGGAAGAGATTAAAGGACCATTAAGTGGGGAGAAAATACTTGGTGATGAAGCATTGTTGACTATGACAGATTTAATTCCTGGTACATACATCTTGAAGTAAGTAGATATATTTTACTGATAGAACATCTTCAGATCCAATATGCTACTGTGAGTACCGTAAAATCTGTATTAGAAGCCACATCCCTAATAGAAGTCGCACCCATTCTTTTTGAACAATTGAGAACCAAAAATTCATTGTTTCTTGTATATGTAGATGATCTAATAGAAACCGCATCCCCTCTGTTGCATTGTACCATTTAAATAGAAGCTGCGGCTTCTAATACAGATTTTACAGTAGTTCATTAGCTAGGGCTTGACACTAAGAGTAGTCCTATAGCCTTGGACAAATCATATTACCATTCACACAACTGAACTGTAATTTTCTATCTTTAACAGGCTACACTAAAATATGCAGGCAACATTACGTTTTGGACTAGTGAGTTTAAAACTAATGTCAAGCCCTGTTTTGTTAGCCCTCGTTTGGACCAAGTCTGAAAATGGGGATTTATGGATCAACCTCCATGCGTGTGTCCATTGTATCCAACCGTATTTCACACATGCTTGGACTAATAAAGCTCACTCATTAAAAATACATCAGACATTATAATGGACATATGGACATGCATTTGTGTCATGATTTTCTTAAAGATGGCTGAATAGTAGCCATTTTAAAGTAAAATGTATCAAAATCGCACATTTTTACCATTCTTAAACCGGACTTCAGTTATGCATGGACTGATTTTGTTTGAAGTTGGTACGTATGTAGAACATAACGAGACCTTGATGTATGTTATTTCAGTTTTCAGATTAAGTTCGATATGGCAGACTGACAGGTTTTTTGTTTTAAAGAATGCAGTTGCAGATTCATATATATCAAATTTAAACTTCACAAATACTCAAAAATGTTATCAAACTCGTGTGCATTAAATAAAAAATGGCTGATTGGCAGCCATCTTGTCTAAGCTAATGCAGTTTCACAGAGCCATATCTCAAACATGCCAGGACCAATTAAGTTAAAACTTCACACATACGTGTACATCTCACTTCAGGTTATAACATTTACTGAATTTTTACAAAATGTGAAAATATTTGCTCTAAATTTTAGGTGGGGAAAAAATGTGGCAAAGGGTTTATGGGGAGATCAAAATAAATACAATTTGATATTCAAACTTTTTACAATTCTATAGACTTTTCATGAGGGTGATTTTCATATTTAATAAGAATCTGTTCTAAAAAAATTAATCAGTTTGCTAATTTAATGATTTGGATCTTCTTGTAACAAGTTGTTGTTTTGTTTTTAGATTAACTGTTGTAGATTCCGATGGTGCTATTGATGCTACAACTGCAAATGTCTCAGTCACTGAAGGTAAGTCACATGATGCATGGTGTGTGGTCACTCCATAGTTAGGTTGTTAAAACATGTCATTCTTATTCAATGCCTGGTATTGTATGTCCTCATTCCACTACAAAGCAATCTTCTCTACAATTTCACCATGTACATCAGCCTTGTTCTATAGTGCACGACCTCCTCCATTCTCTTTACTCCATCGCTCTAGTGAACTAAAATGTGTACCCTATTCTAGTTAGAAATATTAATAAAAAGTGCATCAAATTATACTTCTATTGCCAAAATAGTTTATTAAATCATAATTTTATTTTGATTCCACAGCAACTGATTATCCTCCGGTAGCCAATGCAGGCACTACCCAAGCTATTAAATTACCAACGGACTCTGTTGTATTGAATGGTTCTCTGAGTACTGATGATAAAGGCATTGTTGCATATGAATGGTCTAAATCAAGCGGTGGTGTAGCTGATATGCAGGTGAGAATGCACGCACAAAACTCTGCTGAAATACCCATACACATCAACCATGGCAATGCTTGCTGCCATGTTAGTTTCAAATAAAATTTCTTTTTATCAGATAATGTTGAGCGACCAGTGTTGAAAAAAAATTGAACATTACACAAGTCCTATTGTAGTTATGGCTTACCCAAATCAGAATTCAAATTATGAATTCAGTGCAACATCTACATATTTTTTGGCTCCCATTTGCAGAGCACAAACCAGAAGCTATTATATAAATACAAATGGTTTCTGCCATTTGCATAGATAGATGGATGGATGGTTCAATGGATGTTCGTGTATGAATGGATAAATGGATGGATATGTGTGTATGGTTGGGTCAATGGGTGGAAGTGTGTGTGTGTGTGTGTGGGATGGATGGATGGATGATGGATGTTCGTGTATGAATGGATAAATGGATGGATATGTGTGTATGGTTGGGTCAATGGGTGGAAGTGTGTGTGTGTGTGTGGATGGATGGATGGATGGATGGATGGATGTATATGGATGGGTGTGCGTAGATGGATTGGTGTACGTAGATAGATGGGGTGTGTGTGTGTGGATGGTTGTGTCTATTGGAGGATGTGTGTATTGAAGGATTTGTATATGGGTGTTTGATAGATGTGTGTGTGTTTGATAGATGTGTGTTCAATATCTCAAGAGCCACTGCAATGCAATCTGTGCATATTAATTAGGTAACATGTAATAATTTCATCTGTATTTTTGCAACTGATTGCACAAAAACATTGAAACTTAGTTCATACATATAATCACTGTGAGTGTAGTTGAATGTCTAAAACTACATTGGAATTAACCTATACCGGTACTTGATAACTAATTTGAATACTAATTAACTAGTTTTATTATGCAGCTGGAACATGGTTGAGACTTAAATAGTGTATGTTGTGGATTGATTCATGAATATGGATTCACCTTTACAAAAAAGCAATTTCTAGCATATAGTTTTGTATTTTTAGCTCCGTTGTCGACATTGTCGAGCGGAGCTTATCATACGAGTGATTGTCCGTCGTACTTTTTCGACTTCTTCTTGAAAACTACAAGCCTGAATGCTTTGATACTTGGTGTATATGTACCTTGGTTGATCATATCTTCAATTCTCTAATTTTGGTAAAAAGTGATATTTTCGACTTCTTGTTGAAAACCGCAATTCCGATTGTTTTTATATTACATATAAAGATTTGTTTTGTAAAAACTTATAAAACTATCAACTATTAATCGTTTGCAGTGATTTGAAGGCAAGGTATACATACTTTCACTATGTACATTGAATTTTGTTTGTACTTTCAGGGAAGTTCTAAGAGCATACTACATCTCTCTGGTCTTGAGCAAGGTGTATATACTTTTACATTGAAGGTAACTGATTCAGCAGGTCAGTCTTCAACTGCTAGTGTCATGGTTATTGTACAACCAGGTGAGTGAAATCTACATTATTTTTTTTTTTTAGCTCCGCTGTCGACTTTGTCGAGCGGAGCTTATCATATGAGTGATTGTCCGTCGTCGTCGTCCGTCGTCCGTCGTCCGTGTCAATGTTTTACTTTTTCGACTTCTTCTTGAAAACTACAAGCCTAAATGCTTTGATACTTGGTGTATATGTACCTTGGGTAGACCTCTCTTAGATTTGTTCATTTCATGTTGATATCTTTAATTCTCTAATTTTGGTGAATATTTTTGTCATTTTTGGTAAAAACTATATTTTCGAGTTCTTGTTAAAAACCGCAGGTGCAATTGCTTTGATATTACATCTATAGGTACTACATGTGGACCTCTCTCAGATTTGTTAATTTTGTAATGATATCTTTAATTCTTTAATTTTGGTGAATATTTTTGTCATTTTTGGTAAAAACTGATATTTTCGACTTCTTGTTAAAAACCGCAAGTCCAATTGCTTTGATACTACATATATAGGTACTACATGTGGACCTCTCTCAGATTTGTTCATTTCGTGATGATATCTTCAATTCTCTAATTTTGGTGAATATTTTTGTCATTTTTGGTAAAAACTGATATTTTCGACTTCTTGTTAAAAACCGCAAGTGCAATTGCTTTGATATT